TCTCAGTACCTAGTGATTGTAAAAAGACGATTAATAGCTCGTTGGAATCGCCTCATCAAGACGAATCGAATGGTGGTAAGCTCATCTCTCTGTGATCAATATTGACGGAGTTACTACTTAAAAACCATTTAATATTTTTTAATTTCGGAAAATGATATAGTGATTGGATTTCGATGTATTTTATACCATTAGATTCGTCGCATTAAGACGAATCGAATGGTAGTAAGATTGTCTCTCTAGGATCAATATTGGCAGAGTTATTACACAAAAACCATTAATATTTTTTAATTTCGGAAATTAATCTAGTGATTGGATTTCGATGTATTTTATACCATTAGAACCGTCTCATCAAGACGAATCGAATGGCGGTAAGATCATCTCTCTACAATTAATATTGGCGGAGTTACGATACAATAAAGTTTTGAGTATAATTTTAGCTAAAATTATGTTAATTTTTGGCCGGAATTATGATATACTAATAAGAAATTTTTTATATAGTCACATCTCTTTATAATCACCAAATATGGACTGTCCCAAATGTGTGACTATAAAGAGAGTTGACTGTATTACACTAAGTTGTTATGATTTTTTTCCTTTTTAGATTAATTAACCAATAGAATTGCTGGTAAAATTACTAGTAAATTTAAAATTTTTCCTGAAGACCTTTATTACTAGGAGTAAGTGGAGTCCTATCATTAGTATTTTAAATTGTTTTTTAATTCAAAACCTGTAACTATAATTAGAATTCTGATTTGATTTGATCTGATCCAGATCTGATTTAGTCAAATTCAGATCAAATCAGATAATTATGACCTATCATATTTTAAATCTATACTAATTTGCTAAAACTCAAAATATAAGTTATAGTAAAATTCTAAATAATATAAGTTTAAATTTGCTTAATAAAATATAATTTTAGTTTATTTAAATTATTTGTAAATTGGTAAATTTAATTATTAATTTACTGAAATTAATAATCTTTTTTTTTATTATTAATAAAAAAATAAAAAATTAATATAAATTAAGCTGTTAATTTTTATAATTTATAATTAAAATTATGTAGATTATAGATAAAATAATAATTAATAAAAATAATAAATTAAATATAAATAATTATTAAAAAATAAAATGTTGCAAAACTAATTGAATGGTTTTTAGCCTGCATTATGCTTAATTTTGGCTGGAATTATACTTAATTTTGGCTAAAATATAACCTGTACCCCAAAACTAATATTTTTAAAAATATTATCAATAAAAGTTAAAAAAAAAGGATAAAAAAAAGTACCAATTTACTCAAATATAAAATATAATTTTATAAAGTCAACACAATTTACTAAAACTCATAATTATAACTATTAATTAATTTTCAATCAATTTGCTCTATCTAAATTATAAGTTTAACCTAATTTTGATTGAATTTGCTAAAACTCAAATATGAGTTATATGTGTGATGTCCAGAATCCTGTTATAGTATTACATGTGGCACTATGAGAAATCGTTTGCACTTTTTACTATAATCAAATCCATAAATTCATTAAAAGGTTCTTATTAGTAAATGAGATATCAATTTATAATTTACTTTAGCAAGTTTTTCGTTTATTTGTAAATAATTATTAAAAAAATTATTTTGAATACGTTTTTTTATTGACTATAATTAAGAAAAAATTAAACCTATTTTAAATTTAGTACAAGTTAACAGGAGTAAAAAAAATATACAATTCAAATTTGTCAAAGATCTTCTATAGATTCATGTTCATCTAAAATTATCTGTTCTAATATATCAAGATAACAAGTATATGTATTTTCTAAATCATCTCAAGCTTTTTCTGATAAAATATTTAAATAGTCATACTCAATATTTTTAATGAATTCACTGAAACATGACTTTTCCATTGAAAAAAACTTTTAAATTCACAGTGCATATTCTCAGATAATTTGATCAGGTTATATTAACAAATAAACTCATTATCAAAAAAAGTAATTAAAAATAGTCTCAAACTTCATTTTAGAATTTTAAAAAAGAATCAGGCTACTAGTAAGCTCTGCTAGTCCTTTTACAAGGCCCAAAATCTCCCCATTTATCTGTTATGCTAGTAAACTCTGCTAGTCCTTTTACAAAATCTGGAACCTCCCACATGTATTCTTCTTTTAATTTAAAAAAAAAGATTCATATACGTGAAGTATTTTAGAGAAAAATCAGGCTTATGTTAATAAAACTCTACTAATCCTTTTACAAGGTTTAGAGTTTTCCCACTTGTCTGTTATGCTAGTGAACTTCACTAGTCCTTTTAAAAGACTCAGAGTCTTCTCATATATGCTCTTCTTTTGTTTTTAAAAAAAAAGATACATATTTTAGAAGAGTTAGGCTTTGCCAAAAAAAACTTGCCTGAATTATATGAAATTTTATTAATTTTTCAGATACATAGCTAATTAAAAAATGATAAAGAAGTGAATGAAATGTATAATACTATTAAAGAGGAAGAGAGTACGTGGATCGTAAACCATTTAGTGCGAATTCTAGCATCAAATTATTTTTTTCTTGGATTTCTTATAAATTTCTATACTAGTTATTTTTTTCCTATCATTATCGCTAATACAAAGACTCTTGACTCTATCTATATTAGATTTTTAAAATAAATATTCCTATAAATATTGACATCACTTCTACTAACACAGAAGATATAAAATAATATTTTTCAAAATAAAACCTCTTTTAAATTAAGTAATTTTGAATCTACAGCATAAATTCAAAGATTAGCAATTGAAATAAAAAGAAAGAATCAAGGCAATATTTTCTATTGATACTTGTGTTATAATGAAGATATGTTGATTTTTTTATTGTATTATTGTTAGATGATAGAAAAGCTACAGCAATTTTACTGCACTGATAAGACATGTGAATTCAATTAAATTAGATAATATTTTTGTAATACTGCTAGTTATTTCACTATACCTATTATACGTATAATGATAGTCAAAGATTTTTTTGGTGAAGATCAAAATACTGATATATAATAAGAAAAGTAATATGCCTATTTATTTTGGAATATCTATAAAGGTGGGAAGATTGATTAATATTGTAATGACATATTCAAGAAGCCAACCCAAAACATAAATCAACCTAATGCATTGAATCACAATATGTTGTAAAAAATAGCTTTCTTGAATCAATAGACATTATATTTTCTATAATTTCTAAAAGTTCCACTTCTATTTTTCTATTTTTTTAATATTCATGCAAATCTTGAGAATTTTATTATAGTTTGTTTTAAAATTGATATATAAATTTTTTTTTTTTTTTTTGCAAAATATTTTTTTTCTTTAATTTTATTTTATAGATAAATTTATATTTGAATTTTTCTAATTATCACTGGGAGGTGATGATTACTGGTGACTGAAATTATGATGATTGGTCAGCATTAAAAAAATATAGTACCAGTAAAAATTAATAATTCTGGCCAATGGTGATGATCATTCCCAGTGATTTGAAGTAAAAATCTTTATATTTAGTATTTTTGTATAATACTTAAATCTAACCCTGAGATGAAAAAAAAATTGTTGAACAACTTTAAACTTTAGAGTTAGCTGAGTAAGCTATTTTTTTTTTAATAAATTTAATAAATTTATTCTTTTTAATACCGTACAGTTCTGAAATTAAGCAACACTTTTTTATTATAGAGTTGCTTAATTTCGGGTTATATATTTTTTTTAAATAAAAATCCAAAGAAAACGAAAGAAATTATTCATTTTTTTGTAATTTAAATGATCAAATGATCGGTATAACGTGACACAATACTGTGATCGATAAATAATTAGTCACGCGCAATCTTGTTTTTCCTAAAACTCTCCACACGATATGCCGCTACAAAAAAAGAGAAGACAAAATATGGTCGTTAGTAAAAGAGTTGCTAATAAAAAAATTATCAAACGACATCGCAACTCATATTCTATTGAGCAAAAGAGACAAGTTGTTGCTTATGCTAAAGAAAATGGAATAATTAAAGCATTAAAGTCTTTTGAACTTGATAAGAGTATGGTTAGTCGCTGGGTTAATTTAAATGAAAAGTGGGTAAACGAAACAAACCAAAACAGCAAACGGGTAGGTTCCGGTCGAAAAAGCTTTTACCCAGAAGCTGAAAAGGAACTATACGATTGGATTATTGAGCAAAGAAAGCAGGGATTAGGTGTCACATATGCAATTGCACGAGTTAAAATGCTAGACATTTTAAAAAAACCTACTATGATAAGTCTTTATGGAAATTCAATAAATGAATTTAAAACATCAAACCGTTAGATTTCTGCATTTATGAAAAGACATAATTTATCTTGGCGGCGGCGTACTAAAGTTTTGCAAAAGCTACCATCACAAACGAATGAGCTGCTGAAAAACTTTCAAGAGTTTGTCACTCGGCTGAGAACTGAAAAATTATTTGAGATGTCCAATATCCTTAATATGGACGAAACCCCTGTTTGGTTTGACATGACAGGGAATTTTACTATTGATAACAGAGGCGAAAAAACAATTCATATTCGCAGAACTGGCAATGAAAAAAACTGATTCACGGTTGTTTTGACAGTTTCCGCGGGTAAGATCATTTTATAATCACTTACTTTTAACATTGCTTACTCTATTTTTTTATACTATAGATGGTACAAAATTTCCACCAATTTGTATCTTTAAGGGAAAACGGCTAACACATGGCGAACAGATTCCTTCTGGCGTCATTGTTTGGTTTCAACAAAATGGGTGGATGGATTCTGAACTAATGAAGGATTATGTTGATTATGTTAATAGTAATCTGGGGAAAATGGGTATCAGTAACGCTCCTACAATGATGGTATACGATTCCTTTAGAGGACATTTTGAAGAATCGGTCAAAATCAAATTTCGTGACAGGGGTATTGATCTAGCAGTTATTCCAGGTGGTTTAACTAGCATATGTCAACCACTTGATGTATCCATTAATAAACCATTTAAAGACAATCTTCGTAAGGAATGGCAAATCTGGATGGCAGGAAGTGGCTCCAGAATGACTGAATCAGGTAACTTTCGCCATGCTAGATTATCTGATGTTTGTGGATGGGTCAAACGTGCTTGGGACAGAATCTCAGATGAAATAGTTATTGAGTCTTTCAAGACTTGTAGGATTTCAACGTCCTTAGATGGAACTGATGATGAAATTACTGACAATGAAAGTTCCGATAATGATATCATTGAATAGTGATAGTGAATTAATAATGAATAACCATAATACTACTGTAGTTTATAATAATTTTCATTTATAATACATAATAAAATTATCTTTTATTTTGAATTGTTAAGTTAATTTTAGCAATGTTGATTATTTTTTATTACATTTATTAATTTTTTATTACAGAAATTCGTGAGTTGCTTATTTTCGGAGGTTATTATTATTGGGGGGTTGCTTATTTTCGGGGGTTGCTTAATTTCGGAACTGTATGGTATTTTATATATTTTATAAAAATTTAATATTTTTATTGGTTTATAAGTAACCATGTAATATATTGTAAAAAAGTATATCTACGTATGGCTACACTATTTTAAATTGAAAAAAAAGTCAAACATATCACGTAATAACTAAATCATTCCTCTTACCCCTTAGGTTTATTATTTATTACTCGCATTTTTATGAAAAATGGCATTACTGTATATTCTATTTCATTGCAAATATGACACTTATAAGAACCTCTAGTTTTAGGTTTTTCTCAAGTACCATATTTATTTATTTCACTACTCTCATTACTGTTATGAATACGAATGGTTTCATCAACAGCAATGAGAAAAAATATGCCAATATATTATAAAATAATTAAAACAAAAAAAAATAGAGTAAGAGAGACATTAGTAATGATAGTTAAAATATTTATAAATAATGATATTAATAAAGAACTATAATTATTTGTAATCATTATAAACTAATTTAATTCAACTTTTACACTATAGTACTGTATATTACAAAATTAGAAAAACTCTTCAATTCAATTTTTATACTTAGTTAATTATAAAATGATTGGTGAAGTAATACTACCTCCTCCTCCTTATAGTGAAAAGGATAATGATGATTTAATTGCACTAAAAGAATCGTTACCCTCTCCTTATAACGAATGTGATATAAGTACGTTAAAAATATATTACCACTTAATTATAACAAATTAGATAACAATATCATAATTAATGTTATTTAAAAAACTAGTGTTCACCTGTTGTCTACGACAACAGTTAATATGTAATTCCGGCCAGAATTAAAAGATCTGCAAAGAATTTCCTTTTTTGGAAATTTGAGCAACACAATTTTTTGAAAAGTAACAGAAGACAAAATTTCCTTTTTTGGAAATTCGCGTAACCGACAATTTCCTTTTATGGAATACTTGTTTAACTCAAAATTTCAGTTTTTCGCCAGAAATAAAATTTCCTTTTTGGTCTTGTGTAACATTGGCGACGAATAGGAGTAGGGTTACACAATTCAAATGACTTATTTATATGGTTAATCTAAACATAACGCCCACGTGATTGCAGTGTTTTTTAATATATAGAAGAAGATAGAAGATAGATTATATTAAGTATGTACGAGAGAACAGTGTAAAAGAGAACAATGTTCAAGATGACGAATCATCATGGTTCAAAAATTTCGTTAAAGAAGTAGAAGTTATAGTAGACATGGCAGCTAAAGCTCATCAAGCTGCTGTTGAAAGATTAGCAAATCTAGTAGATATGGCTGATAAAAAAAAAATATTTGAAGAGGAAGAAATAATTGGTAGAACTGGTGAATTGCAGGAAGCAGCTGAAGAAATAGTTGATAAGAAGAGATAATTGTTAAACAGGAGAAAGTAATTGAAAAAATTATTGAACAGGAAGAAGTAGTCAAGAAAAGGGTTTTTTTCTAAGTATATTTTAAAGTAATTTTACCATCGTTCTTTTTGAGTTACTATTAAAATCCGCTTTAAGTTAGCCGATTAGAGTTCTAGAAAATCACCGGTTATCACATTATCAATTTATCATGGTAACGTGACTGGGAGATCCGGATGGATTACAGTATTATACGTCATCTAGATGTCTTTACCTTAAATGAGTTTATCATAAAAGGTATTAGAAAATGAGCTAATTCCAAATTTGGATATATTTCAAAAATAAGCCCTAGAAAATAAATACACAGTTTTAGTTGAAAAAAAAAAAATAACCATGATATTTTTCGTAGCGTTAATTTCAATTCTTTTAGTGATATCACCATGGTTATGGATATCATGGAATTATGAAAAGGATCTTTCGTTAACGAATGAAATACCGACAATCAATAATTTAATAAATAATTCAATAGATATTTGTTCAATAAGTGATATAAAATATGACTGTGGATATTTTGGTATAACACAAGAACAGTGTGAAGCAAGGTTTTGTTGTTGGCGTCCATCGAAAAATCCAGAAGATAATTGGTGTTTTTATAAGAAAGGGGATTCATATTCTTGTGATATTGACCCTGCTACAAGAGTTGATTGTGGATATATGGGTATTCAGAAGGATGAATGTGTTAACAATTTAAATTGTTGTTGGAAACCCACAGATGTTATCGGCGGAAATTATTGTTATTATATGACGCAACCATGTAAAGGTTACAAAGTAGTTAATATTGAAAAACGGCATAATGATCGCGTCCTTATCGCGAATCTTGAATTGAATGGAATTGGATGCGGCCTTTATGGACAAGATTCAAACCATCTGAAATTATTAGTTGAGGTAATTGATATTGTTATTAATAAAATGACGGCATTAAAAAAACGCGTTATATTAATTATTACTTATTAGTATGAAACTAAGGATCGGTTGCATGTAAAAATATATGATCCAAATGAGCAGAGATTTGAAATACCGGAAGAAATTGTTCCTATACCAGAATCAGAACCAATAACTGATGATATGCTTTATACTTTTGTATATAATAAAAGTCCATTCACCTTTTCAGTTGCACGAACTAGTACGGGAGAAAAGATCATTGATACTAATGTTCCTGGAATGAATACATTAGTTTTTGAAGATCAATATATGGAAATTTCTTTTAAACTACCACAAGATCCATTCATTTATGGATTAGGTGAAGTGGTAGATACACTTCGGAGAAATCCTCGTGGAACTTTTCATACTATTTGGACTAGAGATGCTGCAACTCCTATTGCAGAAAATATTTATGGAGCTCAACCATTTTATATGGAAATGAGAAATGGTACTGCTCATGGTGTGTTTTTGAGAAATTCAAATGGAATGGATATAGCCATCACTCCAGGAAATCCCACTAAACTGAATTGGAAAGGTAAATCCCTGATCTATTTCAGTTAATTGATCTGTTTATTTGTAATTGAAAGAAATATGTATATTTATATTATTTTTACTATAAAAAGTCATAGGAGGAGTTTTTGATTTTTATATATTTCTTGGACCAACACCTTCAGATGTTATTGCTCAATATACGAAGGTTCAGTATGAGGAAAAAATTGTTTTAAATAATCTATTCACCTTTTTTTTAAAAAAAAATTTAATCCTTTTTTTTAGATAATTGGGAGACCGTCGCTTCCACCATATTGGGCTCTTGGATATCATCAATGTAGATGGGGATATAGTAATTTGACAATGTTAGAAAATGTGGTGTCAGAGTTTAAATCAAACAATATTCCACTCGAAACAATTTGGTCAGATATAGATTATATGGAAAATTTCAAGGATTTTACATGGGATTCCGTAAACTTTCCACGTCACGAAATGAAAAATTTTGTTATGAAATTACGTGAGAACGAACAACATTACGTTGTTATTGTTGATCCTGGTATTAAAATTGAGGCGGGATATCACCCTTATGAAGATGGTGTCAACAGAAATGTTTTCATCAAGAATTCAAGAGGAAAAAATATTGTGGGACGAGTTTGGCCAGGACTTACAGTGTTTCCTGATTGGTTCAACAAGGATACCCTTAATTATTGGGGGGATATGTTTGAAAATTGGTTAGGAGATGTTGCAGTTGATGGAATATGGATAGATATGAATGAGCTTGCTAGTTGGTGTCGAGGAGAATGTGTGAATGACGAAGAAACAAATTCGGGTGTTCAATCATCACAATATGTAGGTGATCAAAACAACTATAATCAATCTCGTAAACTAAGAAATTCCCCATATAAGATTAATAATGGGGGTATAAGGTTACCTTTGGATGATAATGCATTATCAATGGACGCTATCCATAATAATGGGTTTTTGGAATACGATGTTCATAATTTATATGGTCATATGGAAAGTATGATTACATATGATGTATTGTCAAAGAGAATTAGGAAAGGAAAGAGACCATTCATTATCACTAGATCTACTTTCGCTGGTACTGGTAAATATGCTGGACACTGGACCGGTGACAATTGGTCAAATGTGAGTTAATATTTCGACATTTATTTTTTTTATAATGATTGAACCATGTACTAAATACATTGATGATGATTTAGTGGGATCATCTATACATGTCTATTCCTGGTCTTTTGAACTTTCAGGTTTGCGATTATATTATTGAAGGATAATTTAGAATTACAATTTATTACTAATTTTTTTTTTTTTGTTAGTTATTCGGAATTCCATTTGTTGGTGCAGATATATGTGGATTTAAAGAAGCCGTAACTGAAGAATTATGTTTAAGATGGATGCAACTTGGATCATTTTATCCGTTTATGAGAAATCATAATGGATTAGATGAAGCAAGTCAAGAACCATATTTATGGCCTTCAGTAGCAAAAATATCACGAAAATTTATAAATATAAGATATTCTTTATTATCATATTATTATACATTATTTTATGAGTCACATAAAAAAGGGTTAACAGTATGGAGACCATTATTCTTCGAGTTTCCATTATCAAAAAGTTCATTATTAATTGATAAACAATTCATGATTGGATCAGGATTATTATTATCACCAGTTTTATCATCAAATGTTGATGATGTTATAGCTTTAATACCACCAGGATTATGGTATGATTTTTATTCAAATAAATTTAGTTATAATATAACTAATCCTGATGGGGAGTATGTTAATTTATCAGCACCATTAGATATTTTACCTATATTAATTAGAGGTGGACATATTTTACCTATGCAATATCCTGAATTAACAACTGCAGCTACTAAAAGAAATAATTATTATTTAATTATTGCATTAGATGAAGATGAATATGCTAAAGGAACTCTTTATTTGGATGATGGGGAAAGTATTGATGTTGGTAAAAATTTCACTTATTTAACTTTTATAGTTAATGATGATACGTTAATATTACGATGTGATATTGAATCTCCTCATAAGAAAAGATTATATAAAAGAGAAGAAAATCAAAATGAGTATAATAATAATGGATATAATGGATATAATGGATATAATGGATATAATGGATATAATGGATGTGGTTATAATAATATCAATTCAAAATTGGATAAAATTATTATAATGGGAATTTTAAAGAATAAAAATATTGGAAGGATTTTATTTAATGGAAATTATATTAAAGAATATCAAAAAGCAAATAATTGGATTATTGATGATGATGATAGTATAAAAAAATTAACTTTATATAATTTAAATTTAAGTTTAAATCAATCTTGGAATTTAACTTGGAATAGTTTATTATAAACAAAAATTTATAAAAAATTGGTTTTTTTTTTTAAAAAAAAAAAATTTTTTATACATCAAATAAATTTATTTTTATTTTTATTTTTTTGTTTAAAAAAAAAAAAAATTTCTCTATGTAAATATTATTACATCCATAAGTTCTTACGTTAACATAAATTGACCTAGTTTTTTTATCATTTATTACAAAATAAAAGTCATATCAATTAAGATATGTTAAGTAAATATATACATACATATATTTTTATATATATTATTATTATTTTTTTTTTTTCGAATCTTATTAATTAAAACACTATTAAAAACAAGTCCTAGCGTGATTTTTATTATGTTCTTTTTTTTTTTTTTATATCATAATGATATATCATAATGTTCGCTTTTTTTTTAAAAAAAAACCAAATCTATTAATACTTTTTTAAACTATTCTATTAAAAAATTAAAAAGAAAAAAGGGAAAAAATATACAAAAATCATCTAATATCATTAAAAAAAAGAAAAAAAAAATATATATATTTGTTAAATTTAAATTTCGTAACATAATTAACATAAATTATAATTATGGAATTCAAAAGAACTTACCAAGAATCAATCAATCTTTCAGTCCAACTTTGACCTAGTATATGATACCACCTTCGAAACAGAGGTGTTTCTCGTAAATCTATATATTTAATAAATTATATTTTAATATATTTTATAAATTTTTAATTTCTCAAAGATCAACTTTTTTTTAAAAAAAAATTTTTTTACCTGGAATATTTATTTCAGTAATAAAGTCCGGATATTCTATAAGCATATATCCACAATGAGTGTGAAAATTTATTTTACTTTCCTTTATTACTTCCAAATGTTCCTTACTGAATGTTGTCATGGTAGCATAATCAGGTAAAGATGAATTTATTTCTTCTTCATCATCAATAAAATCTCGATGATTAACTGTTAAATATTTAAATGAATGACCAGTTGCAATATCCAAGAAATCCTTTAAAGCTTCAGAACTAAATACCCAATGTTCTTTAAGATCCATAAAAATACATAAATATTCCAATGTTTTTGGTATACAATTTGCCATTTTTCCAAATAAATCATCAGCTTTAACACTTTCCCCACCATTAAAAGTAAAATGTTTTAATTGAGTACAATTACGAAAAATAGATAAAATATCATCCTCATCCAATTCCAATAAATATAATTCTTGAATATTTTTACAATATGTTATAATAGCAGTTATAACACCAGGTGTATAATCTTTTAAAGTTAACCTTCGTAAATTATTATTTGCAGTTTTAAGAATTCCTGATATAAATTCTTCAGGCATTTCAAAACATCCACCATAATAAAATTCTTCAAGTAAAGGAAATGAAGTAGAAATTTCTAAAACTCTTGGACTTTCTAATTCATAACAATTTCGTAATATAAGAGATCTTAAATTTTTACAAGATTTAATTGAATTTAAAGCTTCATCAGTAGCAATATCCAAGAATAAACTTTCAAGTCTAAGTCTAATAAGAGAAGAAGATTGAGAACCAATAGATTCCAAAGCTGGTATAAAATTAATCTCATCAGATTTTATAGTTAAATATTTTAAATTTTTTTGAGCTTTAATAAGAGATGATAAAGCTTCTTCATCAGAACGTATCACCGAATTAATATCCAATCGAATTATACTTTTACAAATTCCAGCCATTTCCTTATATAAAGGAGAAATATCCTCTTTAGATAAACTATGACATTGAAAATATTGTAAACCACTTAAACTATCAGTAGCACCTGATAAGTTCAAAAGTTTAGCCACAACAATATTTAAAGGATGTAAATCAGGATCATTCACAATACGTAAAGTACGAATATAAGTACTATGTTTTGTGAATAAGATACATAATACAGCGAATACCAACATATTCTTGAAATAACTATCATCATCTGGTTGTTTTAATGGATCCGCCAACATTGAAGGAGATAAAAAATAATACTTTATGTATTGAAATAATTCTAATAATGGAAGGTGTCGTAGATAAGATGCGTAATCGAAAATCGTTCCTTTAGAACATGAAGATAAATCCACATCATGAATAGTTAATACGGAGGTTAATTTCTCACCAGCATTTGATAAATAAGTTCTAATACATTTTGATTGATGTTTGTTATAATTCTGTTTGTTAAATGGAGCCTCCCAAAGAATTGGTACAATAATTTTGCACCATCTTCGGTTTACCATTAAAGCTGAGAACAAATCGCCCGTACTATAATCATCTTTAAGGTAAAGAAAAATTTCGCGTAAAACTTCTATTGAAAGACCGTCCATCTTTTTTTTTTTTTTATTATTATTATTATTTTAATTTAAATATAAATATTTTTTTTTTTTTT